TTTTAACTTTACATTTAACTTCAACATCTAAGTCTGGAAAGTTTCCATAAATTGCAAATCATATTTCATATTACTGATATTTCAGGAATCCAGAAAGTGCATTTTAGATATTCATGGCAATTTTTTGCAGAAACTAACAATCACATTAAGAAGTGCATAATTTTATACATTTCTCTGAATCTTTTATGATCCTGTAAATATTAACCCCCGAGTACTAGGATTTAAGTTGCTGGACACTTTCCACAACCTACAGCCATAATGCATTATTATAATTCAAAATTTAAATTTTGGCTATTTTTCATTCAAAGGTTATGAAACAAAATGTATATGAAAAAGAATCAGTGCCTCTCTATATGCATTTTATCTCATTTTGCACTAAAATCTTATTATGTGTAACTTGTATAATAATTACCTCATCTGTTATGGATCCATTTTAGTGTCTTCCTAAATAATGCCAAAATTGCAGATTATAAACCTAAGAATATTACATAAAATACATGTATAAGGAATATTTTGCGAGGTGTATCACAGGCTTTGAAGTGGATACTGAATGTTTTGAATCACCCTACTTTACATACACAGCTGGCCTCTGTTTAGGTCTTATTCTTGTGTGAATGTTTACTGCCAGAGTTGACTGGCCCTTGCAAGTAAACTCGGCTACCAGTAACAGAATGCTGATACTACTATGATTATTGTCCTGGTTCTACAAGACAGAATAACACACCAAATGTCTTGGTCACTTTGGATGACTGGTAAACAGTAGGTCATCCAAAAGCTAGGAAAAATCAGTTTATTTTAGTGGTTTCAGATATTCAAGCTGCTTGGACTTGATTTTTTATGATTGAAGTACTCGCCTCCGGACAACTGCCCATTCTGGAGTCAGCCTATGTAAAAAGCAACAAAAAGGGTGCTATCAGAGTTATATACAATTTCATTGTTTTCTGTGTTTTTGAAATTTTCATGTGTGTGGAACTGCTTGAAGCAGACACTGGGTGACTTCCCACTCAAACACCTTCCATCCTTAGATAAATTTTTTATGATTTTCCAGTATTACTCTGATGATGGTCATTTGAAAATCTGAAGTGGCATACTTTGTATTCTCCACGAGATACAGTGCATGTACATTGAGCAGTGCTATGTCAAGAATGCAAAGTAACGGTTTCTTGTCCAATGAATGCCATGAACATAACTGAGACCTACCTGTTGCACACATTTTTTACTGCTATAGTCTACTTACTATATGTATATTTTGGCTTTAGAAATGGTTGTTTTCCAATCATGCTTTCGAGTATTCAGTTTCATCTAAATGAAGGCTAGAAAGCATTCTTATATCAGGTTTGTCACACCACTTCATGGTCCTAAGTGAATCACTGGCCACTGACTCTATTTCACGTGGTGAAAGCTTTTGTGACAGAAGAGGCACCCATTTTCTTTCATCCTGCACTGTACCACAGGCACTGATTTTCAGTTTGTAAATAAATAGGGATAATGGTGTATCAATTATCAGTATAAACTAAGTGACATTTATTCAGATATGATGCATTCAGTGTGATGACCATGTATCCTGATTCCTACACAGGAATACATATGTGTACAGTGTACACCTCAAAGATTGACACATATCCAGTTTGTCATATAGGACGTAAACCTTACTCCAAACCTATGCCCTTTTGCTTCTATATACTGTCGTTTCAAGAACACTAAACTTTTATCAACACAGTTGTCTTGAAAGAGTTATATGAAATACAGCCATAAACATTTTGAAAACTTCACTCTTCTTTTGAGGTTGGTCCCGTTTTTCATTATTTAAAAAATGAGCATTCTGAGAACTGAAAGGAATTTGTCTCTTGTCATACTTATTGAGAAAATTCTCAAGTTGAGTATTCATTTATTTCTAGCCATCAACATCAACAAAGCAATGACATTGTAAAGAAATTTGTGGCTCTGTCTACCTCTTCAGAAAGTATGATTATGTCATCTTCATCATATTTCAGAATCACTTGATGTGCATACCTGCTGGTCTCTGTAGTAAGAACAATCATGATATGGCCTGGAAGCATAATCTTTGAAATAGTGCACTTTGATTAGTGCATCAAGTTTTACACCTGAGTTCAAGATGTAAAACTTGCAATGTCTCAGAATGGAAATTACACTTTCCCCTTCCACAGCTCAGAAAGCAACGGGTTTCCATTGGATACAATTAGTTTAGCTGTACATCTTACAACCAAAATATTACCAATCTATTTCTTTTAACTTCTCGTTCTTTGTCAATATCTGAAAATGACTGAGTGTTTTGTGGAGTCCAGATTTGGGTTTTCATATTAAGTGCTAATCCAAATTGCACCCTATGGCTCAAAATAAAATATCTGTAATAAAGTTTACAGTAGATAAAGATAAACGTTATTCAGTTTCAAAACTCTTCCTCTTTACTTTAAAAACAATATGTCAGTTGCTTTTATGAATGTGAAACATATGGTCTACCACATTCAGGGGTAAAGGTAAAGCTCTCCCTGTGCCTAACTAATGAAGCACTACACCAGGAAGGTGTATGGTAGGGAGTGGATGTATAGATCCACACTTTCCTGACCTTGACTCTAGTTGGAGGTGAGTGGTCAGCTTCACGCCCCAGCCCCTTTACCCCCATTGGATAGGAGGTTGGGTGGACCCCAGCGCCAGTCTGGACTTGCAGAAGAGAAAATTCTTGACCCTACTGGGACTCAAACTTCGACCCCTCGGTTGTCCAGCCCATAGCCGGTCACTATACCAAGTAAGCTATTCTGGCTCCTACCACTTTCAGGGTGGAATAATGTAGATTACAAATGTCTGAACAAAGAATGAAGCAATTCAGTCTTGCACACTTAGAAACTGTGAGATCTATATAGATCATAGTTGTTTTAAGACAGTGAATTCTAAAAGGCTGTGATGAGCTGGGCATGTGATAGGATGAGATATGCATGCAGAATTTTGGTGGGAAACTCCTATGAATGCTATGGAGAGGAAAGAAAACATTAAGATGGACCTTAAGGAGACAGGTTGAGAGGATAAACTTTTGATGGAGATGGCCCAGGACTGTCCCTCATGGCAGGCTTTGGTATGTGTGGCACTGTACCTTCAGGTTCCATCATCACAGCACTCATTTGATACTTTAGTAAGGACCACCAGTATTAAACTGAGTAAAAATCAACACATATACTGTAAATATTGTCTGCAGTGAGACCATACCCTTCAAAGTCCTATGTACTTGTGCTCCAATCTCTGTTCCTTATCTCAAGAGGAGAAAGCACAACTTTGGGACACTTCCCTATGCAGATACCTTAAAAGAATTTAAATTATTTTCGGAATCTTATGAAGTAATATACTCACTTACTGTAGAGAGATTTTCAAGGTTTTGCTATCTAAATTGCTACAATCCTTGAGTGCCTTTCCTTCATTCATGACAAGAAGCAGGAGCAAAAGGGAGGAAAACAAACTCCTGAAACACTTCCCTGTAAGACTACATTTTCTTCAAATGTTTTAACAAGCATAGCTACAAACAATCCAGTTTTGATATTTATTTTTCCCTTTAGCATCATTAGTCAAAGCAAAACATGATACATACCTGCCTTTGAAGGCTCAAACCACACACAACTTGAAATATTTATGAACCCTTTTATGTTGGATTACTTTCAATGTACAACTACATACAGTGTCATGGACAACCATTTTTGCATATAACAAAGAGAAGAAAATAAGTCTGATGAATTCTGATTGAGTTAATATTTAACTGATTTTTATACACGCTTTGGCACATGTCTGAGCATGTGGTACAAAAATGAGAGACAGCGGAGATAAACATGTTCCTTTGTGTCATTAAAATTATATTGTTAGGTAGTGCATATTCTTCATGTTGAAGGGTTAAAGAACATTTGCTACAATGTGTACTCAGTCCCTGCATGAGAATTTCTCATATTAATAGAGACTTCTGTGTAAATTACTTTAACATTCTGGACGTTCAAAAGAACTTAACCTCATTTGCAGATGAAATTCATTACATGGGAAAAAATTTAACTTCAAGTTATATAAAATATTTCCTAAAAATTGCAGTTGTATCTTGAAGAGCATATAATTACGATTTCAGAATACCTATATATAACATTTCTTTAACAATGTATATATAGAAAGCAAAACAAATCATACTTTTCCCTGCCAGTGGACTTATTCAGTTGATAGGAGGCAAGGTCTGCTGGGCTTGCCTTAGAGGCTGGTGAGCTACTGCATGTACTTCATACTTAAAAAGTGGTGTANCTTCACGTCCCTGCCGCTTTACCCACGGAGAAAGAGTCCCCAGTACCCATTGGATAGGAGGCTGCGTGGGGCCCAGAGCTGGTCTGGACGATACGGGGAAGAGAAAATACTGACCTTATCAGGACTCGAACTATGACCCCTCGGTCATCCAGCCCATAGCCAGTCACTGTACCGATTATCCTATCCTGGCTCATCATGTAAAATCTAATGCTCAACACTTTTTGCCTCTTATAAGTGACATTCACATTTTACCTAAGTATGGAAATTTTTGCACAGCTTTACTTGACACTAAAACAGTTAAACTGCTACCAAACTGAGGAGAAATTATCAAGAAAACTGGAATTCACTTCCACATGAGATTGACTTCAGGTGAGATCCTATACACAGAATCCCATGTTATTAGTATCTTCATACTTATGAGGTAAAGGTAATGATAAAGTTGTCCCTATGCTGAATTAATTAAGCAAGATGCCATGAGCACATTTCCAGGGGGTGAAAGTATAGCTCCACAATTCTTGACCTCGGCACTAGATGGGGGTGAGTGGTCAGCTTCACGCCCCGGCTGCTTTACCCTCAGGGACAGAGCAGGTTTGGATGCTGTGGAGTAGACAAAATCTCTGCTGCAAAACCAACAGCAGCCATCCAGCTTGTTGCCCATTGCCATACAGACTCCCTCTTCACGATTAGGAGACCAAAGTAAAAAGCTGTAGGGTCCATTTACTATGGCTTAAACATGAAGGATTCCTTTATTCTCTTCATACCATCTCAGAACCTTCAGGTACCTGGTACCCAAATTATCATTCATACACAATACATGTAAACATCCTATCAACCGAATGAGTTATTAAATACGATTCCTTTGTCAATTTTGCTTAAGTCTCTTACAAGCATTCTCAATTTCTGTTCCATCAAATTTCAGTTTTGGACCAAGACTTCGCAACAGCTGATCTTGAGAATAAGTCCCAAACAGTGTGACCAACAATGCTACTCCATATCCTGTAGCACGCTCTCCCTGCAAACAGAAAGGTATGAAATAATATTGTTATGACAATTTCAGCATTAACTTGAACCTGCACACTGTAAATGTCCATAACATACTCACAACATAGACTGGATAGGCCATGTCCACATGAATCCAAATGCCTTGAAAGTCAAATCCCAAGTGTGATCCAATGAACATGCCAGCACAAGATGGCTGGGCATTACTTCGTTCCTATAAAAAAAAAGTACAGTACCAACAACAATGTACTTTATTCAATAGCAAACAATCTTCCTTACAGCAACTGACAGCTCAGATAGTCAGAGAAGTGTTTGGTTTTAACAAACTTTTTGTCTAAGGAAAAATAGGCCTGTATTATCAAGTCCATTTGGAGGGATTTCAGAACCAGTTAACCGATTTTCATAAAACATGGTATCATGACACTGAATGCCACCCCATCTTCATTGGATAATGAACCTTCAGGATCCATAAAAAGGTGGGAATTCCTTGATTAGCTGAGTGACTATCAGATTCTCAAGGATGACTCTGCTCCATGGAACTGGTTGCTGTCACAATGTAAAGGAAATCACATTGTGCATGCCCTTTTACCAGACAGATTCTTCTTCCAAAGAAAGGGACGCATCCGCAAGAAAAACGGAACAAGCGGACCTTAAATAGTGTGCCACTGTGGTCTCTAGAAATTTGTAGTTATTTTGCAATGGAAATATACACTTCAAAATATGAACTGGCTTGATAGATGTATCTGAAGTGTAAAAAATGTTACTTATCATGTACATTAGTCCACTTATCTGACGTGTGTGCACATCTTTCCCCACCCCTGCATATATACTTCTTTTTCTAATGTAGCCCTGTGCCCTGTTTTCATAATTTAAAGCTACTTACAGCAACTGAATTCTTCATGTCAGCAACTGCAGAGGCAAACTCACTGAACTGCAACTCAGGACAATATGGGATGGGGAACAGAAGGTCACCTGACAACTTGCTTGCCAAGATGGCCGCCTCCTCCCACTGCTCACTATTGGTAAGCAGAGCTCCGTGATACTTTCCTGTGCTGACTCCCTGTGGAAAATTTAAATTAGGAAGACCACATACCACATTTTTAAAATCCCATTTTGAAATTTAATATGGTATACCTGACTGACAGACAGTCATGGTAGCTGAGCGGTCTAAGGCATGTACTGTCTTTGCGAGCTTGGAAACTGGGATCGTGGGTTCGAATCCCACTCAGGGCATGGATGTTTAGTTTGTGTGTGTGCGTTTTTCTGTGTTTGTGTACAGGTAGAGGCCTTGCAACAAGCCAATCACCTGCCCAAGGAGTCCTACCGAATGTGTAAGATCTACAAAAACTGAAGTGAACAGTGAAGTTCATGGAGGTAGGCCTAGGTCCACTGGGGCTGTAGTGCCAAGAAAAAAAAAATACCTGACTGACTGCATGATCACCCTCTTCAACTGGCATATTTTTAGGAAAAGAATTTTGTTTATTCACATAGCATTCTTTATGGTTTTCCTGCACAAACTTAATGACAACTTTCCACTTCTTCATAAAAACTTTGTTCTCAGAATTATTTGCCAGTAGATCTTCTGGCCCTCAAAAATACTGTATTTCTTTGTTCCAATGCAATTATGTCTTTGGCATATTTCATACCCACTAATTTAAAATTGGCACTATGTGTACATACAGTCTGTGGGTAACACAAGTCCATCTTGGTTTCACAGTGTGTACCATGATCATGTCACATTGTTTATCCAAGGTTTATTAAATGTTTCTTTTTTCAGATGCTGCACTCATGATCCTAACTTAAACTCAACCAGCTGGTAATAGGAAAAATTGAACTGTCGAAACGGGTTCCACCAAACCCTCAGTTCCATTCATTATTACTGAAAGGTATTTATCACTTCTTTAGGAAAGGCATAGTTAGCTGCCAGTAAACTATGTGTGTTCTGTCAGTTCCTTCAAATACATCTAGTTATGAACTGCTCAGAAAATTTAAGAAAAAAAAAAAAAAAAAAAAGGAAGTGTTCCTCAATATGTGAAGTTCTAAGATGCAATTTCATTACAAACCTATTTTCCATAAAATTTTATTTGTGCCTATGTGCTGGACAATTTTCATAGCGGTACTGTCTGAGTTAATTCTGTGAACAATTTAATCTGTAGCTAGAAGGGTCTGGCTAAACTACTGGAAGCATTCCCCTGCTTGAAAATTTTCATGATACTTCAGTTATACAGGGTAAATGTCACCCTCACTTCCTCCCCTTTCCTTTCCAGATTCACCCTTAAGGGTCATCTTAACAACCATTGGTCAACTGTAATTGTCGTTTCATCGTGGCTGCACCATGTTCTCTTTATACCCGTTTTCTTAGCACTGTCATCTCCGGCCACTGGCTGCTAATGGTGGCAGCAGTTACAGCTGGATTTACCCTGCTCTGCTTATCACCATTTACACACCCGTGATCTTTAGGATAATGGGTTGTAATGTGAGCGCCAGTAAACTGATACTATCAGTTTACAGATTCATGAGGGGTTGCTGTGGTTGGTAGCTAGTTCTCTGGTAGAGGTAAGATTCTGTTCTCAGACTGATTGGCAGGGAACTCCTGTTATAAAAAACACATGCGCACGCACTCACACACACTGTTCCACAAGACACTTTATTCCTGTTAGGTTATTGATGACTGCCTTGGAAACAATTGATTACACTTGCTTGTTAAGTGAGATATCAGACTGATTTTCATCTGAATACTGAACTGGGTTTCAAATATGAATACAATTTCGATATTATAAATTCCACTTAACTGGTACTTTAATTTTCTGTTTTAATCACACTTTATGCCCCACAACTTATACTTCAGAACATTTTATGGGTCCATATGGTTCTTGAGTCGGGAAACAACTAATTTATTACAAATTTCAGAGTGATGCAGATTTTGGGTCCGTATGGTTCTTGAGTTGGGAAACAATTAACTTAGCAGAATGACTTCTCCTCGAAACTTGGAGCCCTCTCGGTCCACAAGCTAACTCCACATATTTCGAGGATTGGTCACTTTTGAAAAAATAGGAGTACTTAATTAACTATTTCTCCAATCCATTTAGGAATTACAGGGAATTTTGGCTCTAAAGACTTAACGTACATTCTGTCAGTAGCTTGACAAATGCTAAGCTTGGCTTGGGTCTCAGGAAATTCCCATCTTTAAGTTATGATGTTCAAAACTGTCACATATCATATTCTCAAAGGACTCCAACAAGCAAAATTTTGTGTAACTTTCTAAGGGACCTAACTATGGGGGAGCCTTCCTGTTTCACTTTGCATCTGCGTTGACCAGTCGTTTTTCTTTTGCTTTTTTTCATTCGAGAGTTGGGCTAAGCCTCCTCCTTGAGAGCAAGAAATAGCCTATGTAACCCCTGTCCATTTGCAGTATGTACAAGTAAACCTAATCGAACATGGTAATTAACATGGATCAATACATGATACTAAATTATATCAAGCTGAGGTTGGCAGTTCGGTTACACAATGATAGGTAAATTCATTAAATACCTTGCAATTCATAACAGTACTTCTAAAAACTACTAAAAATATTTTTGTACTTTGGAAATTTTCTCCACATTTCTCTGAACTTATGTCCATATAGACATTTACCTGCGCCCCTGTAAGTGTGGCCATGTCCAGTATGATGTTGGCCTTTAAGTCTTTCTGTGCATATGAAACCCCATCAGCCAATACAAGACGGCCTTCTGCATCTGTATTGTTGATTTCCACAGTTCTGAAACATTAAGAAAGTAACAAGTGAGATTTGAAACTAATGCCATAACAGTGAAAAGCATGACTGGTGAAGTTAGTGACCATTTTATCTTCAGAATTCATAGACTGGAATCGATCAACTGCAGATGCAGAATATTCTTCCTTACTTTGCTGTCTACTTTTTTTAAAACTACTGCTTTCAATGCAAAACTATTTTTACCTTTCTTTAAATTAACAGCACAGCTCTGAATACTGACTTGCTGATGCAGCATTTGTAGCCAATTTTAATTTGGTGTGAACTCTAGTTAACACTATTTTCTCATGAAACATTAATCCACAGATTTGTGAATTACATTGATCGATTGAAAACTGACAGATGAAATCTGGCTTTCAACACATCAGGATAGTGTACCTGCCAGAATGTAGCACATGAATGTCATCTGGTCTGGTTGCATTTGGACCAACAGCATTTTCCGCTAAGCAAAAGACCGCATGCAAGTTCTGAGTGAACCCTTGCCGCACCGCAGTGTAGAATGCCCCAAGAATACCTGCTGCCCCACCACAGTCCCGCTTCATCCCTGGCATTGCTGTCTGTACAACAAATTCAGTGCAGACAGAATTTTTGTATACCATAGTAAATGTGAATAACTGAAGAGTTAATGTACATCTTTTTAAACGTCTTACTTTGGCTTTGATGCTGAGTCCTCCAGTGTCATATACAATGCCCTTGCCAACCCACGCTATAGTCTGGGTTGCTCCCGGAGGTGTGTGAGACAGAACTGCCAAAGCTGGAGAAACTGCAGCAGCTTTTCCTACACCATAGATACCCCCAAAACCTTGCACTCGTAGATCTTCTCCTCGGATAACAGTCGATGATACACCCAGAGTATCAGCAACAGTTCTCACCTCCTTATAACAAAGTATACATTATATTATATTAAATTATATATTATACAGTGTTATATTTCATTTTTCGAAATGTGGTGTTGGAGAAGAATGGAGAAGATCAGTTGGACCGATTATGTGAGAAATGAAGAAGTGTTAATTAGAGTCAGTGAGCAGAGGAATATCCTACATGAAATAAGAAAACGGAAGGCTAATTGGATTGGTCATGTTTTACGCAGAAACTGCCTTCTAAAAGAAGCTATCGAAGGAAAGATAGATGGGCGGATAGAAGTGACAAGAAGACGAGGAAGAAGACGTAAGAAGATGCTGGATGACCTTGGGGACAGAAGAGGATACTGTCATGTGAAGGAGAAAGCTCTAGATCGCATTAAGTGGAGGAATTGTTTTGAAAGAGACTGTGGACCTGTCGTCTTGACAGATTACTGATGATGATGATGATGATATTAAATTATGTTCGATATAATGGTAATGTTGTTTTGTATGGGCTCTATAATGAAAACACAGACAAGGCTTTTTAGAGTGAAGTTCTAAGAATACATAAAAACATAAAGCAAAAGGAAAACGGAGAAGATTCACAATTTACATACTCTATTAGCATTGCTAGGTGGTGATATCAAGAATGATGAATTGAGCAAGATATATGACACAGGAAATATAATACACATTTTGGTTGGAAAGCCATGTGGGTATAAAAACAAAAATCAAACTCTGTGGTTTTAGTCTGCAAACGAACTGTACTGACCGAGTGACAGCCACTTGTAAGTGAAGTTAGTGCCAACTTTTAGCGGATAGAGAGTGTCGCATGGTCAGCAAAACAAATCCAGTGTGGCCGTTAATTTCGGTTTTCTACACCAGAGCCGCGATTTCCTTGAAATAGCTCCTCAATTATCCTTACAAGGCTGAGTGGACCCCGTTCCAGACCCACTACTTCTCAGAATATCTGGTAATGCCAGGAATCGAACCTGGACCTGTGGATGTGTATCCAGGAACTCTCACCACTAGACCACAGAGGTGTGGAAATAAAATACCATAACACATATCATGGAGATGAGTCCTTGTGAAGCTAATGGTTACCCAGTCAAGAAATTTCTCACCATTTAAAAATCTGAAGGTTCATTAGAGGAACAGGTTTCGAAGGTGGGAACTGGAATGACTTGGATCAGGACAGAGCCAATGGTGGAATTTTGAGAACACATGACCCCATACAACAGAGTTAGTCATGGGAGCTAATTTTCAGCCCAAATAAACGATGAATAATGCAAGGCAGATTGATGGTAGACACCAGACTTCTTAAACCATTATGAATTCTGGTATATAAATTTTGAAGCACAAAAACTCTGTTATGATAATAAATTAAAAATAATTTATAGCAATGTCTCATTTCATTTGAGCAGGAAGCTGGGGACTCCTGACACATAAGATTAAGTGCTGAGTAATGCAATTATTGTACCTGTAAAAAGTGATCAACATTCATTTCATTGCATGGAGCATCAACAATCCTTGCTGCAAGCCTCACACCAGTACATGCACTTTCCAAACACAGTAGGTTCTCTGAAGATAACATCAGGTTCTCCTCCATGTTCCCATTTCTTTCGCCAGCGGCCTTGCATTCTGAACTGGGAACCAATAAGAACTCAACACGCACAGTTGTATTTGAGGTCTGCGATGGTTTGCTGGAAGTCTTACGTGAAAACAGAGGATATGCTCGGGCTACAGCACATGCAGAAGCAAAAACATCTCGGCGTTCACAGACAATCTAGAACCAAAATGCTTCTATTAATTGCCATGCCTTCTCTTAACATCTGTGCATAGAGCAATTCATATATACTGAATAACTCATAAGAGAGATCTGTACTCAACATAACAACAACACATTTTACATATGAATCAAATGCAATACAGAACCAGTCTCTAAGCAATGGCCGATTGAACTGTAGCAAGCATACAGCAGCACTCAAAAATCTTTGTCCATTTGACTTTTTGACTATACATTTGTCAGACATAATGCATTCTCAGATGGCTTTCACAGTTCCCTAAACCCAGTTCAACTGAATGCCCCTGGGAACAGCTTGAGAGATGTAATGATTACAAGGTCTCCAACAAATGAGAAGTGTTCAATATCTTGCATGATGAATGACAGAAGATTCCCCTGAGCCTTCTCATAAACCTCATGCTGGTTAACAGCTTCCAAAACCAAAGTATTAGCAGTGTTTGTTAGTTTTCAGTTTTTGATAAACTGGCTGAAATAACCCCCCCCCCCTTTTTCTTTTTTTTACAGCTGATAATTAACACAAGTGAAAAGTTCAAAGCGTTTCACTTTCATATCAATCCTACTGTACTTCTATAAGGTCCCATTTGAATGGTGAGAATGTTGAGGTAAACTCAGCATGTTACCTCATGTGCCTGTTCTGTGATGAAATCTTATTTAGTTATTACCTAGTATAACATAACACAATCTGTTTCAAAATACAATGCTACAATATAAACAGTGTCATACCACAACTGATTCATCTGTTCCAACTGTCGTGCTCTTCACTATTTTGGTGATAGCATATGCACGAGATGGAGCATTGTGTCGACTACACTTCACAGGCAATGCTGCCAGTGTTGCCAAATTAAGATACAGGGAACATGTGTCTGTTGGAGATGGATGCAGGCTTGCCAGAGCAGATAAGTACACCTATAAAAACAAAAACAGTCACAAATAAAACTGTGATAATGCATCTTACTTTTTGGGTGTTAATTTATGTGCACTGGCTACAAACCTCTTCAGTAACTCGGGGCTCAAGTTTCACCTTAATGTCGTTAAATTTTATTTTGGCTAAATTTTGCACTTGGCCAATTATAACTACTGGATGAACATGTGGATCTGTTTGTGTCAATGATCCCAGAAACTGAAGCTTTGCTGAAGACATAGTTCTGTTCTCACAATCTGAAACTAAAGGAAAATTTGTGAAGCTGTATAAGCTAACCTACAAAGACAAAACAAAAACAACCATTTTCTTTCATGCTAAAGGCAGTGTTGTTAGATCTGAGATAAATTACTAAAAATTTGTTTGTATTGTAAATTTATATAATTAATGATGAATATAACAATTATCTAGGATAATTAGGTTTCCATAATCACCAGGCAAATTTCTTCCTTTCTTAATCACTATTATAAATTTCAAGTGTATCCGAACTGCATATTGTAAACTATGTAATCTTTAACCCTCCCAATTTAAATTCTTAAATACTGTAATCTCAGTGATCTCAGCATGTCTTTACAATACAATCAACAATTACATAGGTCCCTTTGATTGAGGCTTTGTCATATTTGCACAAGCATATCTAAGAGTGTATAAACTAAATGAAAATGCTCTTTCTCATAATTTGACATATTTTTATACTTCTGTAACAAATCAGAATTTGGTTCACAAACAGGATTCCCTGTGAAACTTGAAAGAAAAATGTTAGCAAGATATGAAAACTATTCCAAATCCAGATCACAGAACATAAGAGGGCCTATAAATCGAGCACACTCACAAGCTTTCTTCGAATATACAATTTTCTCGCTATATATGTGCCCGGTATCGAACGAAATTCCTCAAAACCAAAGGGTGAGCAGGATCTATTGAAATTAACATACACGATACATTTACGAGGTGTAATAAATAACAACATACAAAACAGTACCAATAAACTGGAAAATAAACAGAACAGCTCATATATGAGATCTAGTAATTCGGAGACACATTTTTAGTCGGTAGTAAACCCTCACATTTCCAACACGCGTTCACTTTTCGCATATCCACAAAAATGACATCAGCATTATATCCTAAAACATACACACATTCGCATTGTCACACACTTCGAAAAATAAGTGTTTTATGTTGTTTTAAGTAATATTTACCCTACCGACTTTAATTCAGTTATTAGGAACAGTGATAAACAATCCCCTACAACTTTACAGAAAAAAATTTATAACGTGACTAGCGACATCTTCCGCAGAAACTAGAAACAGACGAACGCAGACGACACACAAGGTTAAGCTTTAGCATCTTTGGTTTCGGTATGGTCAGTATGTTGGTAAACGGTACGTAATGCTTTTGCATGATGAAAGTCACATAAGGTAAAGTATAAGATATAAACCTCAGATCTTACGTATAAGATATACTGTTGAAAACACAGAAAGACTGCTCGTGTTCATCTCTTGACAGCCGCAAAAACTGTGTGTGACGGTGGTGTACGTTGCCCGTGGAAAAAGTCGATGTAAATGAGACGCCCAGACAAGTGGCCCAGAATGCCGGGAGGAAAAAGAAGTGGAAGCAAGGTACTTTGTTTTGTTTGAGAGTAATTATTTTCCGTAAGTTGGTAAATCATAGGGCGTTGTGAAATTTGATAGATAGGAATGGTTGTGTAAGTTATAGAAGTTTGATACTTGTGAGGAATATCAAAGTTTATATATCATGCAGTTTTGAATGTGGGGATATTGTGTAAAGTGTGGGAGGTTGGAGATTTTTGGGAATGTGAAGGTTAATAAGTATTAGAAATACTTAGATATGTGAGATATCTTGAAACATAGAATCGCTCTTGGATACATAGTGATATGATGCGCCAGTTAATCTATAGGAGCTGTGACAGAATGTGGAGTGAGGAGATGCTTCAACTGAAGAGAACGCCTCGGGTGCAGACTGATATTACCTGCTCCTTTAAGTGAAGAATGTAGCTCTGGATGATAGCGACAGATAATTGAATTGAATTGAATTTATTTACATTCTATAAATCCTAAGTAGGTTAGTACCTTTGGATACAGAACAAGTCAAAAGGTTACATACATAAGTACAGGCAATTTTAGCTTAAAAATTAATATAACTTACATTGAAGTATTCATCTAAAGAGTAGAAGGAATGAGCATGTAGATAATTCTTTAACTCTGATTTAAACTTTTTAGTATCATTGCCCAAGTTTTTAATACTTTGTGGCAGATTGTTGAACACTTTTATGCCAGTAAAGTAGACTCCTTTTTGATATACTGATAAAGTTGATGAGGGTAGGTGGAAGTTATATTTTTGTCTAGTATTCATGTTATAGACATCAGAATTTAATTTGAATTTATCTTTGTTG